ATTGTTTCAGCACATTTCTAAGCATAAAAGTTTTAAAAACTTATTTCTAATAACTGATTTATTTTATCTTTGTCATAATGACAGTAAATAATATTTTACTTGATATTTTTCAAGACACTTCTATACAGCTTAAAATGACATTTAAAGGCTTAACTTGGTTAATTAGGTTAACTAGGCAGGTCAGGGTAATTAGGCAAAGTAATGTATAATGATGGTTTGCTCTGTAAATTATATAAAAAAAAAATAGCTTAAAGGGGCTAATAATTTTGTCCCAAAAATGGCTTTTAAAAAATTAATAACTGCTTTTATTCTAGCCGAACTAAAACAAATAAGACTTTCTCCAGAAGAAAAAATATTATTAGACATACCGTGAAAATTTCATTGCTCTGTTAAAAATAATTTGGGAAATATTTAAAAAAGAAAATAAAAATCAAAAGGGGGCTAATAATTCTGACTTCAACTGTGTATATATATATATATATATATATATATATATATATATATATATATATATATATATACCGCAGAAAAAAAATATTGCAATGTCAATTTTTTCCAATATCATGCAGCCCTAGGTCACGTGATGTGCGATTTCAGCGGTAGTGTGGATGGAGAGTTGTTCAGAAACGCTTGGTGAAACGCCAGTCTGGACGTGGATCGTATTCATTCTTAAACGTCGTTTTAAAACTAAAACGTATTAGTGTAAATGGGGCCTGACACAGATCACCAGTATTTTAAAAACAAAAATGGCTTCTTCAGCGTTTACTCTGTTTTCAGTGGTTGAAAACACTAGGGTAGTGTGGACAGAAGGCATAACCTGAGCAAAATAGTGCATTTTAAAATTAAAACATATTAGTGTAAACAGGGCCTAAATCAGTTGTGTTATCTGATGGAAAGTGAGCAGATCTCTTATGTCTCCAGGGTTTCAAGGTGCCCTCTAAAAGTAGGGTTATCAAAAAATTGGTTATCTTTTTGTAACAAAATGCTAAGTGTCAAATATGATTCAATTCATTATGCTAAGCTAAGCTAAAAGCCAAATGTTTAACTCTAGGAGACGTAAAATAAGCCTTATTCAAAAATAGGTGTAGTGTTTTTAAAACGGCTGACAAATTGTATAGGAATCCCCCAAACCCCACCGGTTCTTAACTCCAGTGTTTTCCTTTGTATCTGCAGGAGTGGCGCCTCTGTATTCAGGTTTGACTCCTACTATGATCCGCACGTTTCCTGCTAATGGAGCTCTCTTTCTGGCTTATGAAGTCAGTCGCAAGTTCATGATGAAGCAGTTTGATCATTGAGTCCATATCAGTTTTTATAGCCTTTCTGACTTGTTATTTTTTAAGTTTCCATACTGTGTTTTTGTTTACATGTGTCTTTTACTGAATCTTTTAAATGATATGCACAATGAGTGCAGCTTGAATATTTTATATGTGAGAAATAATAATCAAGGCAGGACACTACAGGAGAATAGAGTCAAATAATAATACTATTTTTCCGTGCTTATACAGTTTTTGTCTTGTTTCTACTTCAAATATCTTAAATTAAGAATCGTTTTCTATACAAGAAAGAAAATCATCTTGAATTCAGCAGAATAGTAGTCAACTTGTATACTGCATTTACTGTATGGTGTGTTGTATAGATAGTTGTATAGTGTGTTGTTGAATACTGTGTAAGTCTAGTTGTCTTTTATTAAGGTTTTGTTATAAAGTACATGTCTGAACAACTGTGAAAGCTGAACAGCAGTGTGTGTGACAAATTTACCATAATGGACACAATGTTTTTGACGCTATATAAATTACACTCCTTGTATTGCAGCGCCTCATGGCAATTTAGCCACTGTGATAAATGACTTCGTTTGAATTGTGTGTTGAAAGCTCCATAGGGACAATATACATGGCCAGGCTGCTATAGCCAAACCTTTGGTCACTCGTGCCAATGCCAAATAAGAATTTTGGTGCCAGCAGCCAAAATCTTGGCCTGTGGACAATGTGAAATGTGTATTGTTTTCTGATGAGTCCACCTTCAATGTCTTTCCCACATCTGAGAGAGTTACGGTGTGGAGAAGCCCCGGAGAAGCGTACCACCCAGACTGTTGAATGCCCAGAGTGAAGCATGGGGGTGGATCAGTGATGTTTTGGGCTGCAATATCATGGCATGATAGAGTCTAAGCCGAAGGAAAATGAATGAATGAAAACGTCATCTCTTGCATGGGACTAAGGCCACCTCTTATTTTGCGCGTTTACGCTAAGAGGTAGGGTTGTCTCAATTCTCTATAGCTTGAAGGCGTAGGGCTAAGGGGAAGGGGTGAATAGCTCTTCGAACAAAGATTTTTCAGGACCACACTCAAAACCAAGGGGTAGGAAAATTTCCCAGAATACTCCAGCCACAACGGCAGTATTGCTGAACCCGAAAGTCAGGAGATCCACAATTTTTTTTTTTTTGGTCATTATTATGAATTATTTACGACAAACAAGTACGTTTTAATGTATTCATGACCGCGTTTGTGTTTTAACATCATGCTTTAAAAAAAAAAAAAAACTCTAAATTTCGCGATCTATAATCCATAATAAAAACTCCTGTACAGCAGTCCCACAACATTCTGACACTCGATGACACTCAAATACCCTGTCAGAAAAGTCTAGTTGCTGAGAATGAGCTTTTTACAGTGTCTGCTTTAATGTTGATGTTGTTTTGGTGTGTTTACATTGATGAATATGGCCACTGTGTAAATGCACAGTACAGTTATGAGCTTATTGCCACATTAGATTGTTATGATAACATAAAATACGCCTTCAGTGATTATCTGAAGATAAATACCAAAAAAAGCACTACTGTAATGACTACAGCAGTCACCATCGTCTGATCTCATATAAAGCAAGAGATTGCGACGACGTGTGCAGGTGCTGTCCCAATCTTACGGGTTAATTTTGAAGCCCTTCCCCTTAACCCTCGGTTGTAAGGGTTAAGGTAAAAGGGAAGGGGTAGGGGTACAAAAATAGAATTGGGATTGGGGCTAAATACGAAAGAGATCCATCCCACAAATGGATGATTCTGGCCAGGGGTCACCAAACTTGTTCCTGGAGGGCCGGTGTCCTGTAGATTTTAGCTTTTTTAGATTTTTACTAGGTATACTTGAAACACCCAGGTGTGTTGAGGCAAGTTGGAGCTGCAGGGACACCGGCCCTCCAGGACCGAGATTGGTGACCCCTGATCCAGGCAGTCTAACAACGGTGGAGCGGAGCTGTCTTGAAACCACCTGCCCTGGAGCCTTGCCCTTTTGTCTAGGCATTCCTGCATACCTTCACGTGGCATCAACCAGGGAGGTCCAGGGAAAAAAAGCAGTGCTGCTGCTCTGCCCATTCCTGAGAGGGGAATCTCAACAGGCTTATTTCTCCCTACAAGCCTCCATAGCAAGAGGATTAAGACACATTGAAGACCCTGGCTTGTTTGGTGCAGTGGGCCAATTTCTTCGCTGTGCATTTGATATGATTTTTATAATGCTAAACAATTGTAGCTTGTCAGATTGCAAATATATATATAATTTGCTAACGTTCATTAATTGATATATTTTCATTCCTTCGGCTTAGTCTCTTTATTCATCAGGGGTCGCTACAGCGGAATGAACCGCCAACTTATCCAGCATATGTTTTACACAGCGGATGCCCTTCCAGCTGCAGCACAGTACTGGGAAACATCCATACATACTCATTCACACAGATAAACTATGGTTAATTTAGTTTATTCAATTCCCCTATAGCACATGTATTTAGACTGTGGTGGAAACCGGAGCACCCGGAGGAAACCCATGCCAACACGGGGAGAACATGCAAACACAAATGCCAACTGACCCAGCCGGGACTCAAACCAGCAACCTTCTTGCTGTGAGGTGACAGTGCTAACCACTGAGCCACCGTGTCACCCTATGCAAATGTATATATTATTTCTTTACAGTACAGTTGTTTTTGTATCTCAGTAGAGATCATATATGTGAGACTTGCTCTGAAGAACAATCTACACCCTTGCAGAGAACCCTGAACAAATAAAACGCAAGCAGATTTATTTCCACTCTGACACGTGATATTGCTGGAGTCAGGCGGGGGTTTCCTCTCCTCATGGGACAGCGAGCGCACATTAACAGCTTCTGTTACCTGCTGCTGTCTGCCATAACAGCACATATAACACCCGTGTTGCTCTTCAACATGACCACCGTCATCAGGGTTCAAGACCGCGATACAGTGAGCAACAGACCGATTATACAAGGTATGCCATCTTAAATTTATTTGTGAAGTTTTTTTTACCAAAAATATTCAGTTATTTCTATTATTTATTAACCTTTATTTTAAATTAAAACAATAGATATAAAGTCTAAATTATTAGGCGTGTAATTTTTTTTTAAAATATCCCCCGAATGCTATTTAGCCGACATTTTTCCAACACATTTCTAAACAACAGTTTTAATAACTAATTTTTAACTAATTTATTTCATCTTTGGCATGATGACAGTGCATAATAGTCTTCTTGTAATGTTTCAAGACATTCGCATTCAGCTTAAAGCGACATTTAAAGGCTTAATTAGGTTAACTAAGCATTATTCCAGCCAAACTAGAACAAATACGACCTTTTACAAAAAACAAAAGTATTATAGGAAATACTGTGAAAATGTCCTTCCTCTGTTAAACATCATAAGCGCTAATCATATTACATATCGACTGTGTATCTATGCATTTGGATTTATTGTATAATAGTAATTCCCCATGGTGACAGTGTTACTGTCAACAATGCATAACTGTTGCAGCGTGATGCCGAGTGCGTGAGTCAGTAGGAGTGTCTCGGGGTATTTGATATGTTTATCTGACATGCAATCCAGGGTTTAAAAGAAATGTAATATCCCTGTAATGTCAGTGTGTGGTGCAAATAAAGCGTTTACGATAAACTAAAACATCAGATACACAGATCTACTTTATTCAATTCACCTTTATTTCTATAGCGCTTTTACAATGTAGATTGTGTCAAAGCAGCTTAACATTGAAGATTATAGTGATTTGAAACACTATACTTTTATATCTGTCTAGGAGTTAAAATATACTTTATAATTTTTTAAGTCGTGTAATTTTATTAACCTAATCTTTCAACATAAATTTTAGAACTTGTGCAAACATATGCCTATTGGTTAACTGTAGTTTTCTCACCGCTATAATCTTCTTGGTATATATATATATATATATATATATATATATATATAAAAGGTATTTGCAAATGTTTAACTTTTAATTAAAGTAAAATAACTTGTGTTCAGTGTTCAATCACATTCAGGGGCTGTTTTCAACCAAAAATGAAAAACCTTGTAAATCTGAAAACGCTACCATTGTCGGGTCTTTGTAAACATCTGAAAACAGTCTTTAAAAATTACGACATGTTCATGTATGTTTTTAGCGACAACAATGTACAATGGTGGTACTGTTGTTGTTGCTTAAGGATTTGCTAACTATGGATGGGACAATAATCGGTTTCAAGGTTTACCCTGCTGAAAAATCCAGCTTAAACCAGCCAACCATCTTAGGCTGGTTTAAGCTGGATTTTTAAGCAGGTTACCGTTTGGCAAAGTCAAAATTTTAAAACCACTAAAATGTTTTTTTACGACTATTTTATTTAGTTTTTTTACAGCAACAGTATCTCCAGCAGGAAAGCACCCTCAACATCAAAGCTACTGATCAGCCCACGATTTTAAAAACATTTGAAAAACAAAATGGCTTAACATGCTGTAGACCTGAACAGTACAGTGGCTTACATCCAAAGAAAATCCAAAGATGCCTTTTCAAGTTAAACAGAGATCGTCTCAGGTTACCACCAAATCCATGGTTCCCCAAAGAGAACAAAACGACACGTCAGAATTACGACACTATGGGAACACTTCCTGTTTGTCGAAGTCCTGAAGCACGTGTAATCACGTCATGTTGCGGCAATCCGTGACGTCATACCAGGAAGCTTTATAAATCCTGGGCTTGTCTTCAATTTGTGAAACAAGCATCCAGGCATGCAGAGAGTATGGCAACGAGACGCAGCGTCTTGTTCCCTTCGGAGAACCATGGTTACGGTCATAACCGGAGACGTTCCCCTTCAGGGAACTCAACGCTGCATCAGAACTCAAAAGCTTTGGGAACACAACTGACAAGTGCCCTGGTGACATGTCCATTTCAAGGCACAAAAGTTTTGGAAAAGGATCTAAAACCAGTTGATGAAACTGGATGAAGGTGTGAGGGGTAGACCTTCCTACTGAGGTGGACACATCGGCAAGGATCTTGCAGATAATATGGCTTTGCAAGCTGCCATACCTGTGGTGATGGGACCTTTTGTATCCAAGTGAGATAGCATCTACTATCCACCTGATCAAAGTTTACTTGGATGCAGGGGAACCACAATGAGAGTTTCCACATAGAGTGAACAACTTTTCTGATCTACACCACAGGGCAGCACTGTAGTTGTAGGTGTCCAGAGCCCTAATTGGGCAAAGCAAAATGAAGCTTTTCCTGGTCTTGTGACATGAAAGGAGGCAGATGGAAGGCCTGCAGCACTTTATTAATTGAACGATGTTAGTAGGGTCCTTAAGTCCATACCCCACCCTGGGGTACAAGAACGCCCAGACCATTCCAGGGGCATAGTCAACTTTAGAAGTTGCCACTGACAGGGCCTGTAGATCACCCACTCTTTTGAGGGAGGAAATTGGCAATAGAAAGACGGCTCTGAGTGTCAGCATCCTGTCTTGACACGCCTCAAAAGGTTTGAAAGGTGCTTCCTACAGGCGCTTGAGCACTATCAACAGACCCAAAGTTAAAACCCTGGTGCTGCTTGGAGGCCACAGCTTCAGAGAGCAACAAAAGAAACATACCACTAGGGGGTTTCTCCTTAACATGTCAGACCGATTGGCCGATATGGTCAACATACACTTTTAAAGTGGAGGGAGACAGCCCCATGGAGAAACACTGTTTCACATGGCCAGGGCTTGATGGCAATACCGCATAACCTTAACCATGCGAAACAGATTTCCCCTTTGGAAAAACTCCCTGGATTTGAGCCACCACTGTAGTGGTGTCATGTATGTGTGTAATATATATGGAAAGTCCTAAAAATATTTACTGTATGTTTTTTAGATGATAAACCGCCCTCAATGGGATGCTTTGGCTGGTTAATTATCATCATCGCCATTATTATCACCATTGGTTTACTTCCCATTACAATATTTATGTGCATCAAGGTAAGAAAAGCACTAGCATGATGGTAGTTCTCATAGATCAGGGGTGTCCACACTCGGTCCTGAAGGGCCGGTGTCCTGCAAAGTTTAGTTCCAACCCCAATCAGACACACCTGGGCTAGCTAATCAAGCTCTTACTAGGCATTCTAGAAACATCCTTTGCAGTGTTTTGTGGCAAGTTGGAGCTAAAATCTGCAGGACACCGGCCCTCCAGGACTGAGTTTGGACACCCCTGTCATAGATCAATATCTTGTTATTATTATGTGTGTAAATGATGACTGACAGCAAGTACAACACACATATGGTTTGATTATAGATTGTGCAGGAGTATGAAAGGGCCGTGATCTTTCGATTAGGTCGTATTTTGGACAAAAAACCAAAAGGACCAGGTATGACAAAGATTTTCAGTTGAAGATTTTTGGACTCAATTTAACTTTTGGATTCTATTCATAAATAGAGATACTGTATATTTTAAATGCATCAAAATTAATAAAGAAATGTACAATTAAATAGTCACTAATCAAGAGCATTCTCGTGTACATTTCTATATTAGTTATACATTTGTTTTCCAGGAATTTTCTTTGTGCTGCCATGTACCGATTCGTTCATGAAGGTGGACTTGAGAACTGTGACATTTAATATTCCTGCTCAAGAGGTATGCATAATAATTCATCTTTAATTTAAGGTATTATAGACAATATGTATAAAAACTTATTTTTAATTTTTATGTAATATTGTTTTATTGTTCATTTAATCTTATTTTAAATCTAATTTTCAATGATCTTACAACCTACTATATGTTTTGAAAAATTTATGGCCAATCTGTATGATTTTGCATGATCTTGTTTATTAAATGTTTATAATAAATAGAAAAGTTAATCTGAATAAGAATGTAAAAGTTAGCATAAGTCCGTATGTGTTTATGTGTCATCAGTTTTTGACGAAGGACTCCGTGACGGTGAATGTGGATGGTGTGGTGTACTTCCGTGTGTTTGACCCAATCTGCTCTGTGGCCAACGTGTCAAATGCAAATCAGGCCACACAACTTTTGGCTCAGACCACCCTGAGAAATGTGCTCGGAACAAAGAACCTGTCCGAGCTACTGTCTGACAGAGAGGGCATCTCAAACAGCATGCAGGTACAGGCAACTCCATCCTTTCCAAAATCACCGTTTAATCCAATACCACTGCAGAGCCCCTTCTGTGGGCAAAAATTCTGTTGATGTTAGAGGGCAGAGTAGAATAACCTGACTGATTTGAGTGGACAAAAAGGCAACAGTAACTCAAATAATAATGCAAAACAGCATCTCTGAACAGACAAAAAAAATAAATAAATAAACTACAACAAATAAAAGGAAGTCAGCTAAGGATTTAAAATCAAATTCAGACAGCCTCACCAAATCTGAATAAGATTGGATAAAGATCACTTGTTCTGGTGAGTCTTAATTTCTTCTGCAACTTTTTGTTGGTAGGGTCAAAATTTGGTATTAACCACGTGAAAGCCTCCTACCCTGCTGAAAAAAACAGCTTAAACCAGCCTAGGCTGGTTGGCTGGTTTTAGCTGGTTGACCAGGCTGGTTTTAGAGGGTCTTAGCTGGTCAGGCTGTAAAATGACCAGCTAAAACCAGCTTGACCAGCCTGGTTTAAGCTGGGCATGGCTGGTTTTGGCTGGGCTCCCAGCCTGGCTAGGCTGGTCAAGCTGGTTTTAGCTAAGACCAGGCTGGAAATGGCTGGAAACCAGCCTGGAAATGGCCAAAACCCCTCTAAAACCAGCCTGGTCAACCAGCTAAAACCAGCCAACCAGCCTAGGCTGGTTTAAGCTGTTTTTTTCAGCAGGGTATCCTACCATCTTTGCCGAATATTGGGCCCTTAAATACCAATTTAACATCACCTAAATTCCAGTCAATGTACTCATCTCATCTGTGATGGCTATATCTGGCAGAATATTGCAAGATGCTATAGTATCATGTCAAGGCAATAATATTATTCTGAAGGCAAATGAAGGTCCAACCTGTCAAGACAGGGAGGTCCAGTCATGATCCTGGTCTGCAAGTCTCCTTCAGATCTTAACTCCAACACATTTGCCTTGAATTTCCTAGTGCAGAGGTGTTCAACTGTGTTCCTGGGGACCTAATGTCTCACAGAGTTTAACACACCTGGTTGTGTATTCTGAAATGATCCTGAAAAGCTTGATTTGATGCTTCAGGTATTATTATGCTTGGAGTTAAACACCACTGGATAGTAGGGCTGTTTCTTTGCTGGCAGCCAGCTCTCTGCAGCTGCTCAGTGAGCGCCGTCTTTCGGATGAGACATTAAAGCAAAGTCCCCACTCTTTGTGGTCATTAAAAATCCCAGGATGTCCTTCGAAAAAGAGTAGGGGTTCCTAACAATCCCTGTACCATAATTGGCTTCATCACTCTGTCTCGTCTCCACCAATCAGCTGGTGTATGGTGTGCGATCACAGATCACAGATTTTGGCCTAGAATTATAGGGATCATTTAGGATTTCCAGAATTTTAGAGATATGGCTGAAATTGCAGTGGGACCAGGGCTTTAAGCTCCAATCTTAATCAAACACACCTGAACCAGGTCTTAGAATCAATCAGGGTTGGAGCTGAACTTTGCAGTAAAGTGGGTCTTGAACCTGCTTTTGGCATACAATATATCCAGTGTAGTTGCAGACATACTACAAATGGCTGTAGATACAAACAGTGGCTGTATTGATTTCAGACACATTACAGACACATCGTCTTTGCTGCTGTTACGCTGATGCTTCAGCTGTAAAACTCAACCCAGGGATGTGCTCCATGAGAAGGGTGTATCACATTCCCAGATCCTTTGTATTGTCTTGATGACAGATTGCGTTGGATGAGGCTACTGGTGTGTGGGGTATTAAAGTTGAGCGAGTGGAGATAAAGGACGTTAAACTGCCTATCCAGCTCCAGAGAGCCATGGCTGCAGAAGCTGAAGCATCTCGAGAAGCCCGAGCCAAGGTCAGACACCAAAACACACTCCAAACTGTGGTTAACGGCACGACATTTGCTGCGAGTAACAGAAGTGTATTGTGTTATATCTATGTGCAGGTGATTGCAGCTGAGGGCGAGATGAATGCATCACGTGCACTAAAGGAAGCATCTCTGGTGATCGCAGAGTCGCCGTCAGCACTTCAGCTGAGATACCTCCAGACTCTAAGCACCATAGCAGCTGAGCGAAACTCCACCATTATCTTTCCACTGCCCATTGATATCATTCACCATTTCACATCCAAAAGAAACTAAACTGTCCATTTTATGTTTTATATGTTGTTAGTTTTGATTTAGAGTCTCCTTCGATACAATTGCAACCATTTAAGGTCAAAAACAATTGAATTATAGTATCATATCTTTAATCACAGAGTCTTGTTGGTTCTGTTTCTGGTCTCTGTATTCCCCTCATTTCCTTGATACTACTTTGCTCTGGCTGATCAGATGGCTCTACTCTGCTCTGATTGGTCATATAATACTGTGATTTGATTGGTTAGAAGGCTCTACTTTGCTCTGACTGATCATAGGCAGGGCCGGCGCGACCATAGAGGCAACCTAGGCGGCCGCCTAGGGCGACAGTATAGAGAGGGCAGCATCCGCAACACCCCCCTTATCCTCAGTTATGTTCGCGACACCTCCCTCACCACCCACGTCCTCAGAGCGGCAGTTCAGCTTGCTCCAGCCCTGATCATAGGACACTACTCTGCTTTTATCGGTCGGATGGATCTAGTCTGCTCTGATTAGTCATATGACAATAATGGAGTTAACTTGTTAACAAAGGTTCGGTAGTGGAACCACGCCTCACTTTGTCTCCTTAACCAATCACCTATTCCCTAAAAACTTATTTAAGGCAATCCTGTCCTCTAGCACTGCTCTTCTCGTTCTCTCGAACCCACCTTACCTCCCTCTACTTCCTTGATTCCCAATCCTATTATCCTCTCTTCCCTTTAAGGTTGAATCCGGGGGTCTAATCACTCTACCAAAAAATTACAGAGACAGTACCCCCACTCTGAGTTTCCAGTGCATCATCAGAGGATGCCAGATCAACCTACCTACCTGTTCACTGTTTATCCTCTTACTTACCTTCATCACACTGTTGCCGTACCATCCCTTTCATACCTACAATAAAGTTTAGCACAAAGTGTGGCATTGTCCATGCTGGTGAAATCTGCTATTATTTGTCAGATGGCTGTACTCTCCTTTAATTAGTCATATGACGCACAACTTTGAGCATAGTCCATAATAAATGTGATTTATGCTTTACAGAAAGTTTTACTGTTACATATCAACGGTTAATCTATGTCATTATAGTTGCTTTAATATTAAGCAGTTTTAGGGCAGGGCAAAACTACTGATGTATAATTTGATTTAAATGATCCATTTTTGAGATCTAGCAATACTGTATTTATTATACTGCTTTCACTGTATTTATTTTTATTTAGCAGTATATCAGTGCCACTTGTAGTGAACAAGACTGAAATGTTTATAATGAAAGTTTGCAGGGTCTTGGATACGTAAATACTAGGGGTGTCACGATTTTGATTTTTAATCGAAATCGATCGAAATTTATGCTTAATTTCGATTAATGAATCAAAAAGCAGAATTGTCGATGCTGCCACGCCCCCATGTCTCGTCAGCTTGGCTTGCCAAGCGGGAAAAAACAGGCTTGTTGAAGTGCTTGTTGAACTGCAGATACAGGAGACCCATCGACAGAGCTTAAATCCTCTCCTCTTTCAATGTAGTCGCCGGTGTGTAAGCATTTTGGATTTCCAGTGAGTTATGTTGACAACGTTTGTGTTGTCGACAAAAAAACACACAGTTTTGCAAGCTCTGCTATGTACGTATTAGGGTTCGTCTGATAGACAACACCGGCATCGCGATCCTCCGCCCGCCCCCGTTGCAAATCCGCTCGTGAAAAGTACACACTCAGGCCCTGTTTACACTGTCTATGTTTTTAAATGGCATTTTAGAACGACAACGATTTGACATCCACAGTGGCGTGTAGCATTTCTGAGCAGCCCTCCTTCCTCACTACCTCTGACACACACAGACACAGACGCACACACAGACATATGCGCTCGAGACAGCAGGTCCAGGCAGTCAGAGGACTGCTTCAATCTTTCACTCACTTGTACTCAGTCATTTTAGCGAACACCTCAGATACTTTTGGCTGGTTCCTGTTGGTTGTGCGTCTTTTTTACCTACGCCATTTTCAAGAGTTCACACTTAGATATTGCTTGACAGCTGTAAGCAGGTTTGGCATGCTGTCCCGGGAGAGAACCCTGAGCTCGGAGATAGTTGAGCCCAGGGCTCCCGCCAGGTCCATAGAGCATGTGAGGGGAGTACGAGATCAGGTGGTTCTCGAGAGCTCCCCAAATGCATGAAGCTCGGGACAGCAGCCGTGTATTCGAAGAAACTCCCCAAAAGGCTTGAAATGCTATATCCGGCTGCTGGATATAGTTATTTGAAAAAGAAAAAGTAAAGAGGGCTCCTTTGGAGCAAAGGGTGAAACAGGTTCCTGCGGGAACCCGAGCAGAGTTGGCTTGGGCTGTGAATACTCCTGCTGGAGTAGAGACTCGGGGAGACCCCTGCGGGGGTCAGAGCCATGGGGTGGGCGGGAATCCTGCTGGAGTCATTACAAGGGAAGGGGAGTGAAGGACTCCGGCTGGAGAGGGGGGTGAAGGGGGGCAGGGGGGGCGGGGACTCCAAAGGAGTAATTTGCTCGAGGAACACTCCTTGCGGAGATTGAGCTGGGAGGTGGCAGCACTATATATAATTATATATTTATATGAAACATATAGATATATAAATATATAATGGGGTAATCTAGGGCCTTGGGGGGGCGTTTTTACTGACTCTTGCGAGAGTCGAAGCTCTTGGCTCTCCTGCGGGAGAGAGAGCTGTATGTGCCATCTCCAGCTGGAGTCGGGAAAAGGAATGGTCGGTGAAGCCCCAGCTGAAGGGGGAAATGGCAGTTGGGCGATGACCCCTGCGGGGGTCCGGTGCTCGGGATTAACTCCGCGGGAGTTAGAGCTTGAGGGTGACAGCACTATATATAAATATATATTTATATGCGTGGGTGCATATATATATACATATATATAAATAAATTAAAAAAATAAAAGATAAGTGTGAGAAATAAACAAAAATAAACATAAATAAAAGCTAGGGCCGGGGAGGGTCGGTGACATGACTCGTGTCACAGCTCGGGGTTGGGTGAGCTATTTAGCTGCTCCAGTAGGAGTCGGGAAAGATGAGGGGGAGGTGAAGACTTCTTACTGGAGGGTGACGGGCGGTATAGGTGCTCTGGGGGTGTTCCTGCGGGAACAGAGCGTGAGGGTGACAGCACTATATATAAATTCATATTTATATGCGTGGGTGCATATAGATATAAATTTATATAAATAAAATCAAACAGAGAGAAAAATAAATAGTGCTATACTATATGTCATTATGGAATGACATAATATAAAAAGCTAAGGCCAGGGCAGTGAGATGATTCCTGCGAGAATCGAAGCTCGGGGTAACGCCCCTGCGGGGGCCAGAGCCATGGGGGGGGGCGGGGTCCTACAGAAGTTAGAAAAGTTGTTGGCAGTGAAAACTTCTGTGGCAGCGGCCGGGGGGGGGCGGGGGTGACAAGGGGGCCTGGGCAGGGAGAGAACTCCTACTGGAGTTAGGTGAGTGAAAAGGGGGAGAAGGCTGAGTGCAAATCAGCTGGAAGGAAGAAAGGAAGCTAGATGGCTGGGTCATGCCCGCGCCCTTGGGAGACTGGGTAGTTCCTCTGCCCTCGGGAAGCTGGTATGTTGGGTCGTATTCTCTCCCTGGACTAGGCCCATGCCCTTGGCCGCTGGGATTACTGCGTCTGCTGGTGAGGGTCCTCTGAGCTTCCCTGAGATGGCTGTGGCTGAGTCAGATATAAGATTTGAAGGCGTCGGGAGACTACTTTCCTAGTGTTTGTATGTGTTGTTACGATAGCCCTTGTGTGCTGCTGTGATGGTGGCTCCAATTCTGAATGAGTGACTGGATTATGAATCTGGTGGGAGGCCTGAATGGTCCTATGACTTTAAGGTGTTATGAAACCAAAAATGTTATTGAACGGAATGTGTGGATGTGTTGAGCAGTGAGAAACTGATGAGGTGTTCTGGGGTAACTTAAAATGTATAAATGAATGCTGACGCAAATTGTGTATGCTGTGGTTATGAGATTATCATCTTAAAAGGAGAGATGGAGTCAGCTGCGGCTCTGCTTCTGATACCAGTTTCTGAAAATAAAGCAAAAGAGAGTCAGCGATTTCCTATGCAACTAGGAACATGTACAGCAGTATTTTTTTTTTTTTTTTTTTTTTTTTTTTTTTTTTCAGAATGTATTGACTATATTGCCCGTTAGAAGCGCATTGGCGGCCCCGATAATATACCCCACGAAGGGGGCAGCATCTGTGTAAAAAAGGATATACTGAGGATGAAATTGGATAGCTAATAAATGAATGGCTTCTATTCCAGCGCTTGAGGAAGGAAGCATAAGCAGGTCGCATGCTTTAAGCGCTACCTGATGGTTACGAACCTTTATGAATTTCATTTCTGTTAAACCAGGAGTCACCAAATATGGTACCGATGGGCACCAGATAGCTCACGAGGCTCTCGTGTGTTGCTCACAGGCCTGTTCTAAAATAGCTCACCATAACACCACTTACAAGTACGCTTTCTCTAATATAGAAGTAATCATTTAAAAATGTAAATATTTGCGAAGATAAATAAAATAGTGTTGCACGTTGATATATTAATTACGGGGTATTTCCTACCCTGTTAAATCATTGTTGGTAACTTTGAGAGAATCATAACATGATCAGTGACTACACCTGGATGAATATTATTCATTATTAAAAAATAACCAAAAACTTAAATTATAATTATAAGTAAATTGAGCAATTTGTTATTTGAGAAGTGTTTATCCAACTGGTAGCCCTCCACGTTAATCGGTGCCCGAAAGTAGCTCTTAGTTTCAGAGGTTAGTGACTCCCGTGTTAAACGCTAAAGACAACATTTTGAAGAAAGCTGAAAACCTGTAACCATTGACTTTCACAGGAAGGAAATAAATAATAAGGAAGTCAATGCGGCTGTCCGTAGTGCCCAGCCACAATTCATGACACTTCGTATTCTGCCGCGCCGCGGAGCGCTATTTGTATAATTGATTAGTTTATTTGATAAAGTATGAATGCGTGAGTCTGGTGTGCATTAATCTACTATTCTCTGTCGTAAGTGCCTCGCGTCACCGCGCC